TGAAGACCCAAGATGCATCTACTGACCAAGTTTGATGATCATAGGTCTGAAGGTAATCAAATTATGCATTTTAAACAATTTGAAAACAAAAGTCGGCAAAATTCAAAAAGTAGGTCACAGTGACCTACTTTTTCATAAATATGTTTTAAGGTCCCAAGATTAGTGAAGCAACATGAAAATTTGTATGTGTATAAAATTTGATCAGAATATCTTGAATAGTGATGCAGCTGAATTGCTTACATTAGTATGTATCAGCATATGAAGTTTGACACTAATTTCATTAAAGTACCTAATATCTATCTGCTTATGACCTTTGACACTAATTTAGGAAAAGTGAGGTCAATGTTAAAGCAAAGGTCAAGGTCAAAAATGTTGACGCAGTTGCATATCTCTCATCAATATGTATCAACATAGGAAGTTAGAAATATCAATAAATGATGTCTTTAATTAAAGACTGACTTGTACACAAGTTGATAAAAGTGAGGTCAAGGTCAAATAAAAGTCAAGATCAAAACTGACGATGCAGTTAAATTGCTTACATCAGTATATATAAGCATATGAAGTTTGACACTGCTTTAGGAAAAGTGAGGTCAAGGTCAAAGGAAAGGTCAAGGTCAAAAATGTTGATGCAGTTGCATATCTCTCATCAGTATGTATCAACATATGAAGTTTGATTAAAATATCTAGAAATGGTGTCTTTATTAAAACATAGGTAATCAAAGATTATGAAGCTCACCTCGACGAATGTTATCCGTGTAAGTTAAATGCAAATCTCACATCATATTTTCTTAATATTTAGTTTTTATCCCAACAACAATATTCTTGAAAGTTGTATTTAACCCCTTACATGGCATATACACATTTCTACACATGTAGCGTGAAAAACATGTACAGTGTGAACAAATATTCATAACTTTGTAATACTGTGGATATCAAGAACTTCAAATTCATTGGGATTGATCTGTTCCCAAAACTTTAACCCGGTCTCTTGTTTGGAAAATATAGGTCAGATCCAGCATCCGAAGCAAGTCTGGTAGTGTCCATCCCTAGATGCATCATCCATGCAAGTTTGGTTCAGGTAGGGCTTATAGTTAGTAGGGAATAAAAATGTAGGTCAGATCCAGCATCCGAAGCATGTCTGGTAGTGTCCATCTCTAGATGCATCATCCATGCAAGTTTGGTTCAGGCAGGGATTAAAGTTACTTGGGAATGAAAATATAGGTCAGATCCAGCATCAGAAGCAAGTCTGGTAGTGTCCATCCCTAGATGCATCATCCATGCAAGTTTGGTTCAGGTAAGGCTTATAGTTACTTGAGAATGAAAATGTAGGTCAGATCCAGCATCAGAAGCAAATCTGGTAGTGTCAATCTCTAGATGCATCATCCATGCAAGTTTGGTCCAAGTAGGGCTTAGAGTTCCTTAGGAATGAAAATGTAGGTCAGATCCAGCATCCAGCATCCGAAGCCTTAGGAATGGACCTGCTCCAAAAACTTTAAACTGGTCAATCATCTGAAAAATGTAGGTCAGATCCTGAGCATCCTATAAGCAAGTCTGGTAGTGTTCATCCCTAGATGCATCATCCATGCAAATTTGGTTTGGGTAGGGCTTATAGTTCCTTGGAAATGGACCTGCTCCAAAAACTTTAACCTGGTCACTCATCTGGAAAATGTAGGTCAGATCCAGCATCAGAAGCAAGTCTGGTAGTGTCCATCCTCAGATGCATCATCCATGCAAGTTTGGTCCAAGTAGGGCTTATAGTTCCTTAGGAATAAACCTATTCCAAAAACTTTAACCTGGTCACTCATCTGGAAAATGTAGGTCAGATCCAGCATCCAAAGTAAGTTTGGTAGTGTTCATCCCTAGATGCATCATTCGTGCAAGTTTGTATCAACATGTGAAGTTTGATAACACCATCTTGAATTGTATGTTTAATACTGAGCTAAACACTAATTTAAGAAAAGTGAGGTCAAGGTCAAAGGAAAGGTCAAGGTCTAAAAATGTTGATGCAGTTGCATAGCTCTCATCAATATCAATCAGCATATGAAGTTTGATGAAAATATCTTGGATTATCCAAGATATTTCAAAGAAACTGAGTTTCTTTGAAACTTAGCTTTGAACAGAGCTAAACGCAAAGTGTGAAGGAAGGACGGACGGAAGGACAGAAGGACGTAAGGATGGAAGACAGACATGACAAACACTATATGCCCCGGCCACATTCATGGCGGGGCATAAAAACTGAGCATATACAGACAAAATTAAAATTGGTGTTAAAGTTAAATGGATCAATGTCTTATGTTTTATCATTTTTGTAATATTAATATTTTAAATAATTGTGCAGATCAGAGGCAAAAGTACATTAATATTATCAGACGATTAATCAAGAAAAAATGAATAATTTTTACGAAAAAAATCATACAATTCAATAAATTAAAAAAAAGGGATCAATTATTTCATTTCCGAAAATAGATTTTAAATTTTGATAATAACTCTCTGCTTGACCATGAAATAATTATTTTCTTTATTTATTTTATCATTAATAAATTTATTTATTTATCAATTATATTATTTATTTATTCCTTTCCTGAAAAACTAAGGGATAAAACTTTCTTTTCTCTTTAAAGTAATCTTAAAGTAATCTTATTTTAGTTGACAAAACGAAAAAGAAACTCAGAATACCTCGGTAGTTTCTTCCTAAAGTAACGATTAAAAGCGAGGGTTTCCGAAGATACACGATAGACGCAAAACACAATAGAACCTGATAAACGATCTACACAATAAACGCAAAACACAATAAATGGAAAACATGATAGAAACTTGAATCTACACTACCTGAGGATGCTTCCGTATAACTATGACCAATCACGGTATTCCTTTCTGAGAAGATTTTTAAAGATTTTTCCTACATACTCCTATCTTAAACTTTGATACCCCACTGTGGCCCCACCCTATGCCCGGGGATCATGATTTGAACAAACTTGAATCTACACTACCTGAGGATGATTCCACATGAGTTTCATCTTTCCTGGCCCTGTGGTTCTTGAGAAGATTTTAAAATATTTTTCCTATATACTGTAGATTCCTTATTTTTCATGAGTACTTATTATTGTGAATGGGCTCTTCAAGGTCAAATCGCGAGAATAAAAATTCGCAAATGGACAGTTGGTCAAGAGATTTAACATAGATTTCAGCACCATAAAAATAAAGGCGAGTAAGTTTTTTTCTTGTGTGATGCTTCTCGCGAAATTACGCGATAATTAATTCCACGCATATATTTAGGAATCTACAGTACTGTCAACCAACATATTCATTATATTTTCATCATTATCAAGAAAAGCTTCTTCATTGTTAATTGTTTATTTATTTTTGTTTTGATTGGGAAAGGCCTTTTATGTTCTACCGTAATTTTCGGATTATAGGTCGGTACTTTTTTTCTCAGAGCCGCTGAGGTCGACCAATATACGATTTCGACCTTTCTAAGGCTCAAGTTTACGAAAAATGCCCCAAAATCAATAAAATTTACGTCAATTTCAAAGCAAATCTGTGCCACTTTCATAACTTTTTTCATTATTTTACGCAGAAAAATTAATGCCCCGGTAAACAATAAAATATTTATTCTATAGCTTTCTTACAAAATAAATTCCATTACATATCCGTTGATGACAAAGGAAAAAACTGTGCTTCATCAAAAAAAATAATTCCTCAGCGTGTTATCCATTGCCATCATGCGGTAGCCATCTTGTGAAGTTAGGCAGTCGCTACCGTTTACTAAAAGTAAAACCCCAACCATATCAAAATTTCAAATACGGAAAAAATTTCAAGGTTTTACCATTTATTAGTAGATAAATTGAAATAGTATTAATTTTATTTATTGTGACTGTCTTATATTTATTTAAGTGTAAAATGAGTGAAATAAATATTTGCCAGTCAATTCCTAAATTTATTTACCAAATAAACTGATAGTCATTACTATATATTTTTTTATTTTATTTAATTATAATACCGGTCAAACGAATTAGCGCTATTCAAAGATTGGCTTCTAACAGAATTTTAATTGTCTCGCAGGTAAAAGGATTTACACTGTGTGTACACGCAAAGGTTATAACACCTGTGTTGGTTTAATACCCGCAGGGCATGATTAGCAAATCCACGTGCCGTTATAGGGTATTAGTGTTACACATCATTGAACAAACAAAGCCATGAAATTCATAATGACGGTCAAATTGTGAATGTACCGGTACTCTCAATTAAATATATAATTAAACTTATAGCGTGGTAATATTATTTCAATTCTTTACTGTTGTTTTATATATACATTCAATGGTCGTTTGCGGGTTTTAGCGAATCCCTGAAGAACAAAACTGAAAATGGCGGACATCGAAGCGATTGTCGTCCACCGGTAAATAATGTCTGAATAAAATATATTAGGAATGTGTCCAAGTTGTTCTGAAATCAGACTGATTATTCTTTGTTCTCGGGTATTTCCCGAATTATAGCTGTAAAATAAGAACGTATTTACGTGTTATTTATGCCTCTGGTTTAACAACAGTATGAAACTACGGAGGCATTGAACAGGCAAGTTGGAGAAAAATAAGTAGTAACACAATTCAACGAAGTTTTAACTACATTTTTTTTAAAAACTTCATTTAAATGCTGTACTCATTAAAATACCTGTTTGTTTTCTTGATACGTTCATGTCACGGAATAACCCCGGTAATTCTAGAGGTTTACCTGTTCTGATACGTTGTATCTGCGTAAGAATCTTTAGAAAACGGGAAACAAAGCCTCGTCCTATATAGTAAGTTCGTCCTATCTTAGAATTTTTCAAAAATTAAGGCTGAAAATGAGCCTTTCGACCTATATACCCCATCGACCTATGACCCGAAAATTACGGTAATTTGTTGTTCTAGTTATTTTCTTCATCTTTTATGAGTGGTGAATCTGAGAACAGAGAAAAAAAGTAATAATTAACATGAATGAGCTTCTACATAGTTATTACTCACTGATGCTTGAAAAAATGACTTTAATTTCTTCACTGGTAGCTTTTCTTGAGTTATCCTCTGCTGTAACTGTGATTATGTAAGTTCTTCCTACTTCTAAACCTTCTGTCACAAGCACCCAGTTCTGGGAACTATTGCTTTTTTTGACCACATTGTAGGCTCCTCCTATAAGAAAAAAGAGAAATAAACCATTTAAAACTATAAAAAAAACTTCTGTTTTGGAACATGATTGTTGTGCTTTGAACATAATATGCAAAAGGATTCTGGAAATTTTTTTCTCAAAAACAAAATCTTTTCACTTAACAATTTTCATTTCATACATCTAAATTTGCTTCAAGGTTCTTAGAAGTTCTCAGAAAGGTCTTGCGCCATAAAAGTATTTCAAAATTACAAATTAAAATCAGAAGTCTCTGTCAAGATTGAAGCTCTACTGGTTTGTACTAATAGCAAAGGAAGAGAAAAGTACTTAAGCAGTTGGGAATTGAAACTTTACAACAGCAGTTAATAGATTAATGATCCTTGCATGCCACATTATATTATAATCAGACTAAAACTGTATTTGGAGTAGCAATTTGAGAGTATTCAACAGAAATTTCTATTTTTAGTAACCATGCAAGGCAATAATGTTCATCGAAGTCAAAAACTGATAAAGAGAATTGTGTACCTTAGTGTAGTCTACTTGTGTGCCAAGTTATATTGAAATCAGACCAAAACTGTAGGACTGGAGTAGCATTTTAAAAGAATTTCCCAGAAATTTATATTTTAAGCGACAATGCCAACACTGTTCATCGAAATAAAAAACTTATACATAGAATCATGTATCTTAGTGTAGTCTACTTGTGTGCCAAGTTATATTGAAATCAAACCAGAACTGTAGGAGACGTAGCATTTTGGAAAGAATTTCACAGAAATTTCTATTTTTGTAACCATGGTAACACGGTTTATCAAAATCAAAAACTGATATCGAGAATTATATACCTTAGTGTAGTCTACTTGTGTGCCAAGTTATATTGAAATCGGACCAAAACTGTAGGAGGAGTAGGATTTTGAAAGAATTTCACCGAAATTTCTATTTTGTAACAACGCCAACACCATTCATCGAAATCAAAAACCGATATATAGTATTATGTACCTTTATGTAGTCTACTTGTGTGCCAAGTTATACTGAAATCAGATCAAAACTGTAGGAGGTGTAGCATTTTGAAAGAATTCCTCAGAAATTCTTATTTTTAAAAATAATGCCAACACCGTTTATCAAAATCAAAAACCAATACTGTATACAGGGTTATTTTCGCTCCGTCTTATTTTCGCCCTTTCACACTTGCAAACAATTTTGTCCCATTTTAAATTCGCCAAATCATGATTTTCTTTAAGAAATTATACTGTATTCTTTGAATTCGCCCCGTTTTAAATTTGCCCAAATGAGAATAAAACGGGGGAAAAAATTTCCCAGTATACAGTAAACAGAATTATGTACCTTAGTGTAGTCTACTTGTGTGCCAAGTTGTATTGAAATCAGACCAAAACTGTAGGAGGAGTAGCATTTTGAAAGAATTTCACAGAAATTTCTATTTTTAGTAACAACACCAACACCGTTCATCGAAATCAAAAATAGATATACAGAATTATGTATCTTAGTGTAGTCTATCTGTGTGCCAAGTTATATTGAAATCAGACCAAAACCGTAGGAGTAGCATTTTGAAAAATTGTTTACAGACAGACAGACAACTGGATGCTGGACGCATTACTATCGCATAAGCTCTTCTGGTCTCTGACCAGTAGAGCTAAAAATTGAGACTCATTTTAACAGGTCAAGACCACTAAATTTTCTGAAGTCAGCATAAATTTGTATGTTAATTAGCTATCTGTCTACTTTACCCACTATGGAATGAGTCACAATGCATTATGGACTGCGTACTACAGTTGAAAATAAAGGGCAAATTGAATTGTTCTTTAGAAACTCATTTTCAATTTTTTTTATAGATTTATTAAAGAAATATTAAAAATGATGTATGATCTTTTATTTTATGCTGAACTTCACATTAACAAAATTTGCTTTGCGACTTAAACCATTGTTCAAAGAGACCTAGGTGCTATCGTGTTGATAAAGCATTGAAATTTTTTTTTCATGCAATATACATGTAAATATACGATATACGTGTAAATAGTTTTAGACAGCAGTAAAAGCTGGTGCACAATTATTATTTAACCACTCGATATTATCAACATGTTTTATGTACACACTGTACATGCAAATGTCAAAGCATATGTACAATATTTGAAGCAACTATAAATAATCTAAAACAACTCCAATATTAAATGTGAGCACGGAGCAGTGTCTTTGGAATAGAATCTTTCAATTTTGTTCTTATAAAGTGAAAAAGAAGCGCTACGGATTTTCAGTGTATCTCAACGTCGATAGAAATTCACGCTTTACATACTCCTGTTTTGATTATATAATTTGCTTCTGTAGACATGTGTTTGTAGAAGAATCCCAAGCCCCTCTGTGTCTCTGAGACATTAATTGCTTAATATTCAGCTTCGGTAAAATCATGGATAAATCTTCTTGATTCTGCGTAAATGTTCAACCATTTATTGATGTTGAAATCTAACAAATCTTTAACATTTTGTAAAAAAAAAAAAAGAATAGCTGAACTACAATGATCACCTCTGGTAATATACACAGCTGTTGTCAATGCTTTTATCTAGTCATGATCATACATGCCAACTTTTGAAAATTCTCATGGGGGATTTTGCGCGTGACGACATTTTTCATAGCTTTAAATTTGTGACATTTTGTCGTGAAATTAAATGATTATGACATAATCCTTTTTTTTAATTTATAATATAATTAATATCACTTACTAATACTACTAAAGGATAAAAATAACACAAAAATAAGGTTTTTCTTTCCAAATTGGAAATATTTTTGCTCAAATAGGTGCCTCTCTCCCTAAAGAAGGGATAATTAGTTACATATGTAAACTTTTTTTACCAGCTAGGACACATAATTTGGTAAAAAATTGAAAATTGTACAACTTTTGATACTGTAAAGTACTGTTTCTGGGAACATTTATGAGATTTTTATATTTTAATTAATTAGAAATTCTAATCAGATTTTAAATTTAAAGAAATTTTGAGAAATTGCAATGCATTTATTTTTTATTCAAAGAAATAAATCATCGGTTTTGAAGAATTAAATCATCAATTTTCTAACATAAAGATACCACCTATCCCAAAGAAATTGATTTTTTTACAGTCTTGAACTTTGGCAGGCTTGATGGTGCTATGTGGGTATTTCTTAGTCACATATGCATAAAATATTATAATTACTTTTGGGAGAAGGGAGGGAAAAGAAATTCTAATTGACATAGACTTTATTGTTTCACCAGGATTTTTTTCATATTATTTTAACTGGCAAACTTTACAATATTTTTTCATTATAGGTAGATAAAGTCAGCAGCTATGCTTTGTAGTTTTCTACTTTCGTTTTCAAATAACGATCTCCTTGGATTCCGATTTTATGGTTTGGTTATTATTTAGTTGTCTTTAATTTATGTTTTCAATAAAATGACAAACAATTATCCCTTTAATCTATGTGTTTCACCTTGCATACCCCTTAAAACTGAAAAGATAATCCCCTAATTAATTGCCCCATGCTATAAGCTACCTACACCTGGACGACTCCGTGCGTTCAAGCGTGAAGTGATTTCCTGTGGCTAATTAACCATGTTAACACCTAAATAAACAATGAAACTTATCTGTGTGCATTGAATAAACAAGTCTGATATTGTTATCCCAATTGACAAAATTCAGCGGTATAGGGAAACTTATAAAATCGGAAATTTTGGGTGAATTTTTACAAATCGGGAAACTAGGTCAATTTTTCTCTCCCGATCGGGAAGGCGGGATAAAAGGGTAAAATCAGGAGAATCCCGCCTAAATCGGGAAAGTTGGCATGTATGCATGATGAAATTTTAGAAAGAAATTCCAGGAACTTTTGGATCAACCCACATATCAAAATGAGCTTAATATTTAAAGTATAGATGTTGTAAATGCATGCGGGGGCTGGGTTGTTGTTGGAGGGGGGGTGGGGGATAATTTTATTGAACAGTGTATTTTTGCAGTTTGAAAGACAAATGCAACAAATCTAGAAAAAAAACTATTCATTTGTACTGGCAGGTGTAAATAGGTTTATTGACAATTATGATTCCATACTGTTCCATATAGCAAAACTTTTAAAGAATTCAAAGGGACCTGTATATGAAATTACTTCGCTAATATCCGTAATTCGTTATAATTGTATAAGAAATTCATTAAATTCATTAAATTTATATAGCTCGAGATCCAAGATGACTTCGCTATATCTGTAAATTCGCAATATCTGTGTTCGTACTAAATGAGTTTTGCTGTATGAATCATGTGCATTGCAGACAAGCAAAAACAAAATTTTCTCTCTTTTTCTTTCTCTCCAATAATAAAATGGATGTTTCTGCATGTCCATATTTATACAATGATCAACATACAAAGTAAACATCACATCCCATTCCTGCCCCTCCTTGCTAGACACATGCAAACACATGCACTTCTAATTTGGTAACCGATGTACATATGCTGAACATGCATATCAAAAGCTTTGAATGGACATATGGTCAATCTTTGGTAATCACCAGAAGTCTCTGTCGAGACTGAAGCTCTACTGGTTTGTACTTATAGCAAAGGAAGAGAAAAGTACTTAAGCAGTTGGGAATTGAAACTTCACAACAGCAATAAATAGAAATGATCCTTGATAAAGTCTCTTAATTTTCTTAGTGTAGTCTACTTGTGTGCCAAGTTATATTGAAATCAGTCCAAAACTGTAGGAGGAGAAGCATTTTGAAACAATTTTACAGAAATTTCTATTTTTAGTAACCACGGCAACACCGTTCATCGAAATCAAAAACCAATAAACAGAATTATGTATCTTAGTGTAGTCTACTTGTGTGCTAAGTTATATTGAAATCAGACCGAAACTGTAGTAGGAGTAGCATTTTGAAACAATTTCACAGAAATTTCTATTTTTAGTAACCACGGCAACACCGTTTATCGAAATCAATATCCAATACACAGAATTATGTATCTTAGTGTAGTCTACTTGTTTGCCAAGTTATATTGAAATCAGACCA